GATTATTTAATGATGAATTTTGTTATTGCACTAGATCAAACATCATCAAGTGATAAGTAAACGTATTAGAATATCTCACCGTAGGAAACTTTGTCACATCCCTCATCACTTTAGTTTTGACAGCTCCGGGATGTAAACAGACAGCCACCACACCACTATCTTTCAAACGTTCATTCAATTCGATAGCGTGTATTATATTTGCCAATTTAGAAGTGCTATATGCATCTATTGCATCATAGGCCTCTTGATCATATTGCAAATCTGGTTTGATAATGCGACCTCTTTCATGAATCATGGAGGAAACATTGATTATTCGTGATGGTGCAGCATTCTTTAACAATGGTAACAACAATTCTGTCAATAGAAATGGTCCAAAATAATTCACTCCCATTGTCATTTCGAAACCATCTTCAGTTGTTGTATAGTTCTGTAGTATGAGTCCAGCATTGTTGATGAGAAAATCTATTTTGTTGTATTTACTTTTGATTCTGTCAACAAATTCTCTGATTGATGTTAACGAAGCCAGATCAAGTTGTTCAATGATCAACTAGAATGAAATTGAAAAATATAAAGTGTAGAAAATTAGTTTATAATGTTACAAACATCAAAATATCCCATAGTTTCAATTAATATAAGACAATGAAAACGGATTATGATGAATCAACGACAGTTAGAATCAGAATGGGGGATTTGTAGAGTATGCAGTAATTTCAATAGTTAGAATGTTGTTCACACAGTAATCATAGAAAACAAAAAAGTGTTACGTAACAACAGAATGTAATGGTATTCGAAACGGATAGAAATTTTATCAAAATTATACTTTTCAAATGTTATACAAGTAGTTGATTATGTAAAATATATGATTAAGAAAATATGAAATGAATGAAGAAAGGACACTCAGTCTAGCCTGATCTCTGTGTTTAAATTTAGAAAAAGAATAAGACAATAGCTGATTGCTTCGAATAGTTTAACCTTTGTATTGTGGAACAGATGAAAGATTTAATGGTGTACAATAACTTACTCTATATCTCCATCTGTACTTCATCTTTCAAATTTTAATGTATGTATATATCATCATGATAAAGTGATAAGATATATACTGACTTTAGTAAACGTTTTCCTAACTATGAAAGCAGATGATTATTTCATAATATTCTAGGGAATGTAATTCAAATAAGTAACTGTACACTCAAGTAGTAAATCCAAGTTAACTATTTTATGATAGATTGGTTGAATTTAGACTTGTACATCATTGAATATCAACTTAATGGTCAAGAGGTTAACCATTCGTGCAATAGACCGAATGTTCAGGTTGCAATTTTCGTCTGCGATGACTGTCAAGTAGTTCCATAATGAGGTGAAACGACAGTCCAGTATTAACAGTTTTTCAATGATCATTTAACTTGGATTGCTTCGTGAAATCAATGAAGTTTGATTTTTTATTGTTTATGCAACAACTACCAACAGTCCAGAAAATGATTAAAAACTATTTGCATATAATAAGTCGTAAATTTCCTTATTGTCAGATGTCGTTTGTTATGTTATATCTTTAAAAGAATTTTCATAGTTGAAATCATGAGTCGATTTAAACTTGACCACCATCGAAGATCTGCAAGCACTGGATAGCCGTTTTGTCTTGGGTTCCAGACCCGCATATGGGGTCGTGGATGCGTACTGCCGAGGAGTCCTGTCTTAGAACGAAACGGCCGTCCAGTAGTTCCAGGATAACATTGGTGTTCCACCTTAAATTGACTGATGATTTTAACCATTAAAATTACTACGATCTCCACAAACCCCCATTATGATATTCACTGTAATAATATTACAGCGGTTGGTGCTATTCGGTTACTAGCTAGTTCGTTGATGCGTAATACTGAGGATTATAAAGCTATTAGCTGATTCCAATGATTAGAAAAGACTAATTTTGAATCTACCAACCTCAAGAAAGAGATATAACTTAAGAAGAGTATACTAAAGTCAATGTTAGCATACCTGGTCTGACTCGATGGGCTTTAAAGATGACTTCACTGGACTACATGCAATATCTGTTTCTCCACTTTTCTCATTATTCTTACCATACATTTCCAATAGACGTGTTTTAGCTTTGTTGGCTCGTTCGATATTTCGACATGCCATAATGATGGTTGCACCACGACGAGCCAATTCACTGGCTGTATAAAGACCGATTCCAGTGTTACATCCTGTCACAATTGCCATTTTCCCATCCAATCGTTTGTTGATAACACATGATTTTCTCCATAAACCAACGGTCTCTTTCATTGTGTTTGAATACGGTGGAGTGACTTTGATGTTGAGTCTATATTTGATGTGTGACGATTGAATTGTACACGAATTTAAAGTGAATTGAATGTGAACGGAATGTGATATCTAACCAATCACATTGGTCAAATGAAAACGAACGTATACTAACCGTATAATTCTTTTATTTAAAATTTGGCATATTATTATCATTCTTTATATGAATGATAATAGATTGTGAATTTATGTGTGACCAGATAATTATCTATATCGTAATTCACAAATTTCTGTAAGAGGAGCCAAAAAATTCTCATTAACATTATTTTCAATTCTCAAGCGAATGCGTGCTCGTATTAAAGCATGGTCAGAGTCTAAACATGTACTGGAGAATGAGCGACAGTCTTCAATCGATCCTCTCCAACGTTGAATGATGACAATATGGTCTATTTGAGTCAATCGTTGGTTTGGTGCAGGCGGCCAACATATTACACAATGTCTCTCCTTATACTTGAAATTAGTGTTTGCTAAAAATAAATGATTGTCTGAGCACAGTTGCAGCAGACGGTCACCATCAAATGTTCGCTGAGCCCCAATACTAAAATACCCACCTAAATGTCTTTCTGTTTAGTTTAAGCTACCTCCTTGAGCATTGAAGTCACCTGCTATGTGTGCCATGTCTGAGCGTTCAGCTTTTTGAAGTTCACAAAGCCTTCTGTAAAATTCATCTTTAACTTCATCTGTGCTGCAGTCATTGGAAGTGTATGCAGAAAAGACGAAAATGCGACGACGGGTGACGTGTGAGGAGGAGGAAGTCAAAAGAGGATGTTTAGAGTTGAAAGTCGAGGTGGGACGAATAATAGAAATTGAATAGGGAGGCTGATTATGAATACAGGGATCTTGAGTGCTGTCAGTGTTATGAAGGCGTTTATCACTTCCCGGTCGCCCACATCGTGGAAACGTTCTTCAATATGTACCAGAAGAGGAAATTAGTTTAGGGGTGGTCTTAGTGACCTGAGAGCGTGCCTGCGGTGCCCAATGGACAACTGCTTGAGGACGGTCACACACAAACATTTTGTGGGTGACTTTTGTTTTCGTTCCATACTTGTTGAGAACTTACCGTTCCGAAGACGGATATCCGTGGGAAAATGTGAGGTGTTCATCTTCAACGCCAACCGTTTCTAACCCCACCACTCCTTGTGAGAATGCGCATCGTTGTGACGCTGACTGTGTGAGAGAAGCAACTTACTGCCGCCACATATCTGTATAGTCAGTAGTACGACTTCGCCTTCGGACCATGTGTTTGCTGCTCTTAGTCTTACCGTACTTCGACTCACCAGTCTATCATGATAGGATCTAGAGGAATGATGTTTTCACCTAGTAGAGCTCGGTTGGTTCATTCTGATAAGCAAGCCCAACCACCACGTCAAAGTAACAATAGTGGTCGGAAATATACGTTCCTAAATATCTCCATATTCAACTCGTAATATAATATCTAAGTTCACTAGACACAATTTCGCATTTCGCGATAAAGAAAAATTATTATTATTATTATTATTATTATTATTATTATTATTATTATGAAATTAAGCTTGAAAATCCGATGAATTCCAATCTTAATTATTTAGTTCATTGTTGAAATATTAGTTTAATGATTGAAGTTTTATCAGACAGATTGTTCTCTTCAACTTCAGTTGAATTCAATTTAGTCTAAAACGATCACTATGCTGAAGCAATTATGTATTCATTTAAGTCACCAATAGAGCATACATAATTAGTTTACAGAATAGACAAATAACTGAGTCTCTTTAGGTATAGTCAAGCACGCGGAACTCTTTAAAATGTTAAATACTCAAAAACAATGTAACAACCATAATGTGATTTTTCTTATACTGTGTGACTAAATTACTTGGACAAGGAAGCTGGAAAATTAGATTCGCATTTTACATCCCTATTGATTATTTGCATAGTTTTCTTATATAAGAATCAATGCAATTCCTATGCTATTTTGACTGAAACTGGTTACAGTATCTTTATAGAATGGGGTCAAGCTTTAGATAGTTGGCAATGTCTATAAAAACCAGTTAGTTTCTGAGAATACACTACTTTACTAAATCGACCGATTTGACAGACTTATATACATATAGTCCATTATTATTATTTATATCAGTAATACAGACTATTTTTCATATAATCGTGTTAGCAACACAATCAGATGAATAATTAGGTATGATGAAAGATCATGTTTGTTGTTTATTATTACTAAGCGTTAATTCATTTTGTATTGGTTGTTTGAGCAATCTCATTGATGTTTTGGACTGTAATTGATCAGTCTCTTTTTGCTATATGTGCATTCCGTGCAGATTATCTGAATATACCACTAAGTCACAGGTATTATAAACAGAGGTTGACGGTGGCTAACAGTGGAATTCAGGACGCGCATTTCATCCTATTTGGATACCGATCAATGAAAGTTGTAAATATTAGTGGGAATTAACAAACGGACGTGTTCAGTAACAATTCATTATATAGTTTGTAACAGTAGATTATGAGAGATGTGGTTCTTCTATAAGCTTATACTTAAACATGTTACTTCCTAAAATAGACTATTGTTAAAGCTATGAAGATAATTAGAACAATTGGATCGCAGAAAATACCACTGTTTTCTTCATTGATTTAAGGAAAATTTATGAGAACTCAAATATGGAGAGATACTAGCTGTATTTAAATGACAAAATTTGTCACTAACCAGTTTTTAAATTTGCATTTTTATATGAAGTGAATTTTACTCCTTGAGGACTGTTGTGTTTCTGTTGCATAGAACTATTATTGATACTGTGATTTGATTTATAATAGGATGTAATGGGTTTTAGTGGATTTGTTAGTTTATTTGATGATCCCGGTGTTAATCTTTGCACGGAAAACGAAAGGAAATATGTAAAATATTAGAAATGAAGCGGAAGAAATAGGTTAATATTAGGAGTTCGGAGGTAGTTCACAGTAGGGTTCGAGACAATTACTTGATTCTAGTAAGCATTAGTCAGTACAGTGTGTCAGCAATCTCATACGAACTAGGACTTCCAGTAGGCTGATAACTTGACTCGGTAATTTAAAACAAACATAAGAGCACTGAAATATTTACAGGACAAACAACCTCATGTACGATTGAGAAATTCACACTAACTAACCACTTAACATCAAATGAAATGGATTTTAATTTCAACTTATCTAGACTGATAATTCCAGCACAATCCCACTCACAGAATCCAGTCATTTTAATGCCGATGGATTTTAGACTTTTCAAGAATATCTTGCCAATACTTCATTCATAAAACATGAATAGATATATGGATCGTTGAATTGTCCGGGTTATTAAATTTATTCTAATATTACAAATAACGTGTATTTCATAATTCTTATTTGTGATTATTTACATTGAATGGTGAGAAATAATCATGAGCATTTTCTTTATCATCTAGTCTATATTCATGGAAATGTGTAATTACGTAATCGCGGAGTAGACGTTGCATTCTCACACTCCACTGAAATGAACAAAACGTAATATTCATTAACATAAATTTGTTTTATATTAGTGATAGTTATTTGTCTGTAATTCCCAAAACGATAAGAATTCGGAGTATTTCCAACTAAGGAACACTGTCCTGCCCTTGTTAGAACAAATTAACTCCATTTCAGAGATATTTTCAACTATCATCTAATTTCGATAAAATGATGGTTCAAAATAATGTCGTTCTTACAATTGTAATGAGAGAGAGAGAGGTGTTTGTGGATATTATAGTTCTAATCTCGTGATGTGGGATCGTGGATGCGCACTGCTGAAGATTCTCAAACTAGGACGATAAGGCCGCCCAGTGCCTACAGCTTTTCCATTGTGGTCTAGCTTCAAATGACTCATGATTTCAACTATTCAATTTGTATAATTATCGGAAATCAAAACGATTATTTAGCACGATTTACAATACTACTTAATTACGCATTGAAGTAAATACAAATTGTGCTTACTGTTGAGATTTATTAATTTCAGCTGCAACAATATTTAAATCTTCCGTCTCCGAATCCCATTCATCATCCTCACTGCTTGGCACAACTGATAAATTACTGGTAGTATTAGTAGTATTTGGTTTTGTACCAAATGTCACAACTCGTTGATCATGACTGAAATGAATCTCGGGTGAATTAGATGTGATTTGTGTTTGTTGAACAGTACCACTGTTATTATTATTATTGTTATGTAGACAGGTGGGATATTTTTGAGAAGTCATTTGTGATTGTGATTCATTTGTAGGATTCTGTTTAGACATGGTTGGTGCTAATTTACTGCCAAAATTACTTTCTTCTGAAACAAATTGAAGTTGAGGACTTGATCTTTGTAAACGTGGTCTAATCGAAGAGAAATAATATAATTTTACTTTTTATTCGTTCAAGCAACAAAATGACTGATGAGAGGAACATTTCCATGGCGTGAGTTTTCTTAGTTTAGTTGACTTGCATTGATGTATTCTGATTATTTGCAACACTGATATAGTTTAATTTGACTCTTAATCATCGTGTTTGTTACATCCGAACGAAGAATAAATGAATGGTGACTGTTAGGGATTATTTGTGGAGCATTATTGCATATATTCTTATTGGATAACTGTCAAGTAACTAAATCATATCTATATTCATATTCGTTTCGTTATAAACTTCCATTTGACCTATTGACTACTTTTATATGATTTGCCATTCTTAACTTATTCCCACTTTATTAGTAAAGTAACACTTTCTCACACTCACAACTACTTTTGACTTGATTTTTTATGATCGTTATTTTTCATTTTATGGTGTGATTCTGCCTGTTCTGCTTATATATATACCACGTATATGTGAAATATACGGTTTATATAGTGAAAGCTGACGAGCTTGATCTGCGATCTCATAGTCTTTATCTTTTCATGACATACGTTTTTAGATGCCGCATCAATTTGTCGGGCAGGTGATACAATAATTTAGAATTAGGTCAGACAATCTAATCTGAATTTATTGGAGAGTGCTTGACATTCAAACTATTTACCGTCACTTGTCTTATTAATTTTCTTTGCTAATATGTTATTTTTTGCAAAATATTATTATTCTGGTTAACGGTCTTATTTTGTTTTCAAATCACACATGGACTCAAGTTAATAATGCGGTCTAGTGAGCTGCGATCAGTCGATTACTTCTTGAATAATTGCATAATATTGATCGATCAGTATTCTACTCAATAAATTTGATAGTTGAACGTTCATTGATTAGCCAACAGAATTCACAATTCACAAAATGAAATGTATACTGATATAACGAAGATTCACCTACTACGCTCCTACTATAAGTGATTTAACACTCCACACTTCTGCAGATATCTGATTCTCTGATAGTTTAGACTAAGCAAAATTAATGAATTTAAGTTCTGAGAGCAAGTATGTACTAACAACATGCAAAGTATTTGAGAAGTAAACGGTTTTAAATGAACAGCCATCACGTCCAACATATCTATACACACATAACAGAACGAAGGATTTAGTAAAGAATAGCAATGAACATATCCAAACTAACTGTCTCAGAAGCTGCACCTCGCTGTAAACGACTTTCGAAATGAGTGCTATCAAATCAGAAACTAGTTGTAAAATTGTCCGATGCAACAAGTCTCAAATTGACGTATATTTTAAATCTTCAGTCACATAAAATTTTAGAAGTAGCCTCAATATTAGATCGGTCTCTTCACTGCTCAATACAGCTCAATGAATGCTTCCACCACACATGTGAACAGGAAATGCTCACCGACCTAACATGTTCGAATAGCGTTTCAGTTATTTATACATGTTGTCAAATTCAACCTCGTCTACTAATTTTTAAGTAAACACGTGTTTCCAAAAATAACTTTTGACTTCATTTTTCTGCATGTACGACTAGCTCCAACACTCTGAATTTTCACTGTCTTCATCTTTACACAGGAGAACGGAAATTTCTTCACGAAATCCAACGAGTTGTTTGCATAAATAATACAGTTGAAAATGTACTACAGCCCATGATTTTGATAAGTGACTAAATATTTAACTTCCTACAGGTTTTCAAGCCAATGTATCATCCATCATCACGCTTCGTTTATTGGTGTCTGTAATGACAGCTTAATCGTAACATCAATGATTGTTTGGTTACATATGTAGATCTAGAGTTGTCGGTCTCATCGTTTCACTGTCCAACTACTCAACTCGTACATGATTGCTTTCTCACCAACAAGGAGTATTCAGCTAGCACAGATCTGTTCGGTGAAGATACTGACAACTTGCAGAGTACGTAGAACAGCAGGAGATTACTGCAATTTCTGTTTTACGTAATGGGTGTAAAGCATTGTGTGAATGTGCAATACATGCATACATACTTGATAAGTGACGAATCCAGATGTTTGACTGTATAGTGAGAAATACTGAGTTTAGGCCCATAGTGTTTCGGCATAATGTCGATAACTGTTTGGAAATTAGGCAAATTAATCTGAGGTGGTTGGTAAACGTGTTACACATGATCAAAATAACTCTGCATATCACGGATAACTGCACCGTAGTTAAAGTGATCAGAAGTATCAATTTGCTTTTCTTTCAAGTGAGAGGTTTAATCTAGTTCACTCATCAGTATTTTTCTTCACTTTTGCAGTTTTTGATCGTTCTTCGCTTCTTTAAGATCAATGAACTGATCGGTAAGACGCCTCCGAATTTCCTCAGTGTCCCTATATTTGTTTTTATACAATCTCGATCTTTACATCACGTCAGTTCAAAGGTAGATTTCAGTCAAATGTTCAAGCCTTATTTCTTTCATTATTTGTCTCATCGATTTCACTGATAATGCTGAAGCTTTCAATTCAAGGCGTGGAACAGGAACAAGTTTTAGAGGAACTATTCTGTATTTGACCAAGATGAAACATCTCGTTGTACTTGCATCATCTCATATAAGCTATGGCTCCATCACCGCTTTCTGAGGTATCAGATATCGATCTACAAATAAGAGGCTCGATACAAAAACATGGTAATATCCTCAAGGATTTAACACCTGCAATTCCTTACAATTAAGTTTCCATACTCGAACTCAAACCGTCATCACATCCTTTTTTTACGATACAGCTGTTGCGTTTCCCGCATCCATAAGTGAAATAAGAGAGCTTCATGCAATAATAGCGTAAAGAATAACTACAATATATGATAGTGCAAATGACAGTTGTTAGCAATGTCCAAACTTGGTAACAGTTTATCAACAAGCAAATACTGAACCAAGGACAAACAATATGGAAACTATTGCAATTACACAAGGGTTAAACGAGTGCATAAAATTGCGAATAACTGCTACAATAATTGAGATCAATTAATTATAATGATAAATACAATATAAAAGTATATGTAAACATTTTGGAATATTACACAACAAACATGAGTACGTGTAGAAATTGCTAGGAATACAATTATTTACTGAATATTGAAAAGTAGTATAAGGCAATACACGAAAGAGTCGAAGAAAAGTGAGTAAGGACAGAGAATGTAAAATAGACTTAGCAATAATGTCATAATTTATGTCGTAGTTACTTTTAGGTTTACATAGTTCCTGTTCCTCTGTTTGTTTTAGATTGAATGGAACTTAACTGAAGTTGAAGAAAACAATCTGTCTGATATATCTTCAATCATTAAACTCATATTTCAACAGTCAACAAAATAATTCACTGAACTTTCAAGTTTAGTTTCATCATCATAATATTTCTTCATCGTTAAGAGCAAAATTATTTTTAGTGAACTTAATTTTATTCAACGATGTGTGAATTTCACATGCATTTTGGCCGTCAGTTCAATTACCAATGTGGTCTCTGTGGCCAGATCTGATGCTGCCTGCGATGAATTCGATTCAGATGACTGATTTTTCAATGGGGTTTTATAAGAACAGTTTCACTCTCTGACCAAAATAATTATGTGTTGGCTTGTGAGACAATGGTTCCATATTGCATCAATCTGTGGATCGGAGCTGTGTTGGATGGGGTTGAATTATTGAATGGGGTCAATACAGCAATCGTACTGGATTCTGAGTGACCCCAGATCACTTGGATAGAAATTGGTTTTTGTATGGCAGATCGTTCACCTGATAGTGATTTTCCGTATTATTTAATATTTATCATCACTCGACCCCACGTTATGTTCTACCTGCATTTTTTTGGTTTTGTCATTTCGATGCGTTTGATTGTGGTCTTCCTGTGATTCATTTTGCTCTGTGTGTGCAGTATTATGTCTGTACCTGTCTCTTCGTTGATACCATCTATCTGGTGATTAAATGATAAACATTTCACCAGTAGTCTCATTACTCTCGATTTGTCTTCACAACTTAACAACAGTGTCTAGTGATCACTGTTTCATCAATAGTTAGCTACAATTCATCTAACGACTTTGGTCATAAACAAATAGTAACCAGGTCTAAATGATCGATTCGAGAGAAAATGAGTAGGTGGATTTCAGAAGAAGAGTCAACTGAAGATTTATCTAAGTATTTGAAGTGTCTTTATTATATGATAGAGCAAGCAAACACAGTGAGGAGCCTGGGGGTATCGAATCTGAATAATTCGAGTATAAACACTATTCGGAGTGTAGTGAACTGAAGTGGCACTTTTGCTAAGTTGACGATTAGCAGTGTGTTGTCACTTATATTTCAAGATACAAACAATAGTTGTTCACTCGGAAATACCAACACTTGTATTACACCCTAAAAAAGCAGGTATGCTCAGTAATATTAGTGGAAAATAATTTTAATTCGATTATGTATATTCACACAAAGTGAATAATTTGTGTTGTCCACGAGATATGCATTGGTCTTAGAAGGGATCATTCGGTAAAGAATGATTGCGATGTTGAAACGGACTAGATGTGTGGTACTTCGTTACGTATAACCTTTCGAGTGAGAGTCACTTTTCTTTCATTCAGTCAATATCAAACTAGACCGAACTAGAAAGGTAAGTCGATGTGCTGACTTCGATCTCATGTGATGTGGTGAGTGTCTACAGAGATCGAGATGTAAACATTTGTGAAAATGATTCTCCCACTCCTCTCATTCCCTGATGAAAACTGTATTCAATTCGATCAGTTCATCAACAAACAAAATCACATCCCGTCAAATTATTCATGCAATACTCACACCATCCAGTCTAGTAACTATTAATCTAACAGAAAACACACACAAACTGTAAACTCTTTGAAAAGAGCAACGCTTTCTTTCACTCAAATCAGTGTGTACAAAGTGAAATCATATTGTAAATAACACCAAATTGAAAATCATCACATTCTATTAACTGATTTATTGGTGAATTTGTCTCAATACGATCATCAAAATGAACACCGATTTCTGTCTACACAGTTCACTTGAGTAGTCATTCACACTTAGTTATCACATTGTATATTCAATAGTTCACATGTTTTATCCAAAAACCATTTTCTGGATGTCGCATTTTCGACACGTTTTGAAGGTTTCTTCAATGTGCAATTTGAATAATAACCTCCAGGAGCCAAGTTATCTGTTAGTACAGTATATAGAGTAGTTTGTGCACCTTTCCACGGTGTAATAAAGAAAGGGCGAACAAGTGGTTGTACAATATTCTAAAATAAATGAGGTGAATAATACATAATTGAGTAAACGGAATAATTCATAGCATTACTGTTATTACAGTATATATATATATATATATATATATATATATATATATATATATATATATATTGATAAATGCTAATGATTTATTAAGGTTTGTATAGACGTCATATATACATAGATATACATGTCGGAAACATATCAAGATATTGTCCTATGTATTTCATTGCTGAGTAACATTAATAGTCACATCATCTAATTACTGGACATCAATCGTAATGTTCAGATCGACAAACAATTAACCACTTTATTTCAATCAACTTGAAGGTTTATATGTGAACAATCTCATGTTCATCATGATCGTCAAACCAATCAATTTTATCGTAATTTCAAATCGAAGCAGAAATTACGGTAGAAATTAGGTTCACTTGACATAAAATCTCTACATCAGTATGCATATTACGATTATTTAATGATGAATTTTGTTATTGCACTAATGATTCTTTTGTACTTGTGGAATGCTGAATTTCGAATTTCAAATACAGTACATTCGTTAGTGCTTGTCTAGTACTTCTTTATTCAATTGCGTTTTTTCTGGGATTCTTAGTTTATACCTTAATTCAAATATTTCTAATTATCACACATCACCGAATGATAATTAAATGTATAAAAATCTCTCACCATAGGAAACTTTCTCAGATCCCTTAGCACTTCAGTTTTGACAGTTCCGGGATGTAAACAGACAGCCACCACACCACTATCTTTCAAACGTTCATTCAATTCAATAGTATGTATCACATTTGCCAATTTCGATACACTATATGCCTT